CAGGTGATATTCAGTTCATTTCAACAAACATTTTTTGGCCCCGTCTTACCTGCCAGGTTCTGTGCCATGTGCAAATCCAGGAAGGAATTGCACAATATAATCATAATGTCACTGCTTCCTATTCTAATCCCAAACTTCCCTTGGCTGGTGACAACACCGCACAGCTGGCTGGCAGGATGAGGGAATAATTTGGAAGAGCCTGATATCTCTCAGTCCCATATGTGCTCATTGGCCACAGTTAAAAATGAACATATTTCTTCCCTTTCCTTGTCCCATGGGGTGTGCACTATTTTTCAAAATCCACTTTGAATAGCAAACGCAGGTTACTTGACTTGCTTAGGTTGGGCTCTGATTTTTGCATCTTGACTCTTAGTTCAGGATATGTTGATCTTGACAAGCTTTTCTTGACATTTTTCTATGCTTTAAGAAGGTGCCCACAGTTATTCAGACCATCTCCCTTGTCCCGGGTTCCCCTGTACCTCCCTACCACCTACATTCAATGGATAACGTGGCTTCCTACTTTACCAAGATCAACGTGTGCGTCTTAAGGTCCCACTTTATCTTTCCTTACAGTGTCACTTCCGCTGCTCCTGTCTCGAATTCCTCTCCAGTAGTCTCAGTGAATGTGTTTCATTCCTCAAGAAAACTAACATCTCCCTGCATAGCTCCCATTCAACTCTTCCTTCAGCAGTCACGCCATTCCCTCCACCTCAAGATCCCTGAACACCTAGGCTTTGTACTCCCTCCTCTTCCTCAATCTCTGAGTATAATTAGCTGAAGTCCCCTCTAAGGAGAAGTGTCCTCAAGTCTAAAGACCTTCTTTTCCCTGGCCTGCCATGGCATTGCCTCTTGCTGGGTCTCTTCCTATTTCTCTGACTCTTGGTTTTCTGTTCCCCTATTGATTCTGGCCTCAGCTCTTCACTGTTTCCACACTATTCTCACTCCCTTCTTTATTCATTTATTCATTCACTTGTGTCCTCTGTGAAGAGGACCCAATATCTCCCTGGCACTAATCCAGGTGCAGGATGACAGCAGTGGACAGAACAAACAAGGCTGCTGTCACCAAGGAGAACCAGTCTGATGGGAAGAACAGAAAATAAGCAAGTACATAAATTAAAAATAAGATAGTTTTGGATAGTGAGAGAAGATATGAAGAACAAGAAAGAGGGCGATGAGATAGCGAGTAGCTTCAGGTGAGGAAGATGGCAGGAAACAATCTTAGAGTGACCAGGGAATGTCACTGTAGGGTGAAGTCACTTGAGGCAAGACCAAAATGACAAGAAACCAGCCACAGAATGAAGGGTGTTCTAGGAAGAGGGGACACCAAATGCTAAGGCTATAATAATAATGATGGGAAATATTAACAGTGGGGAAAAGTTTGATAACTATGAGGTACATTTCTTTAAAATTAAGTGTAGTTGGAACATTTGTGGACAAGACAGAGAGTGGTAGAAATGAGTATGGAGAGATAGCCAGAGCACAAGGCCAACTTTAGGCCATGGTGACAAGTCTACATTTCATTGCAGTGTAGTGAGATGCCATGGAAGGGCTTTAAGCAAGAGAAGTTCACATCTTTTAGAATACAAAGATTGTTCTGTCTACTCTTTGGAGAATAGAGCATATGGTTTCACCCATTAATTGTGAAGGGAGAATGATTATTAAATTGGGAGGCCAAGCAAACATCAATGAGAAAGGATTGAAGCCAAAATGGCAGGAAAGAGGAAGGGATAGCTTAATTTAAATGATTTTAAAACTCTCAGAACAAGGCCAAGAGTACTTCAGGGAACTTAAGGTGCTTGCAAAAGTGACTGAGAGTGACAGCCAAAAATCAAGGGAAACAGCAGGAGAAAGAAAAGACTAAATGCTCCTATTTTCAGTACAGGAGAGGACAGAAGTGGTGTACGGAAAGTAGAGGTAAAATCCTCACAGTACCCAATTACAATGGGGTTGATAAACAATTAGAAAAGAACATTATGAATATTAGCAATTCACATAAATAGACATAAGAAAAATTTTCTAGGGCTGAGCCAGTTCCTGCTGTGGTAGTTGATAAAATTACCAGACCGAAAATATCTCAGTCTGTCTATGTACCTCAGTCTTGGTGAGGCTTTCGATAAAATCATAGAACCTCAAAGATGATTGGAACTTTAACATAATCTATTCCAAATTTCTAACCTATAAAGATTTTCCTTCCTAAACATCCCAGTAGTTGCTTGGATAACAACTGCTTGGACATAACGAAAGGTAATTAGTCCTATTTTGGAAAGGTTTGAAATGTATTGCTGAAAATCTGTTCTTGTGTTAGTGTAAGCCATTGATCCTATTTCTTTCCTGTGGATGACTAGATGTCTAATTCCTCTCACAGATTCCTTTTATTGTAGATTTTCAGAATGTGTCATGCTGTACATATAAAAAATAGGGAGCTATGTTTGGGTTTTATGATTGAGCAACTGTACTAAAGAATTCTAATTAGGCCAGGTGCAGTGGCTCATGCCTGTAATCCCAGCACTTTGGGAGGCCAAGGCGGGCAGATCACCTGAGGTCAGGAGTTTGAGACCAGCCTGGCCAACATGGCGAAAACCCTTCTCTACTAAAAATTCAAAAATTACAGGTGGGCACCTGTAATCCCAGCTACTTGGGAGACTGAGGCAGAAGAATTGTTTGAACTTGGGAGGTGGACGTTGCAGTAAGCCAAGATCACACTATTGCACTCCAGCCTGGGCAACAAGAGTGAAACTCTGTCTCAAAAAACAAACAAAAAAACAAACAAACAAAAAGAATGTTATTATTAGCTCATTGTCAAGGTAGAATGAGGTCTTTAGAAGCAGGCCAAAAGACTATCTCTTCTTTTTTTCTATTACTTCTTTGTTTTTAAATCCATGTTTGGATCATGTGATTGTCAAGCCTAGAGATGAAACAAGGCTAAAGAAGAGAGATATATTGGGCGATTGAATCTGAATTCAATAAAAGTATTAACACAATGTGATAACTGGTTGAAACTAATACATTTTAACAACAATAAGTGCAAAGTTTCATAATAAAATTTCCAAAATTGCCTATACAAGACATTATGACTCTGCAACAAGTCAAGTGAAAAATACTCACGGATTTTAATTGAATTTAAGCTGATTATGACTAAAATGTGGCTGTAAATGTATTTGAATAGTTATATCCTTCAAAGCAAATGTAGCCATAATTCCACTGGATTTATGCTGGTCAGACCACACAGGGACCATCAGTTCCTGTTCTGGACGTCACTTGGAGAATCATGCTGAGAAACTGAAAATCCTCCTGAAAAAGCAGCCAGGGTGGTAAAGGATTAGAAACTACTAGAAAACACATTGGAAGAAACTAAGGAAGAGTAGCCCCAAACAAAAATGTCTTAGGGTGGATGTGAGGAAGCATAGCTCTTTTAAAGAGAAAACAGCATTAGGGCCACTTAATGGAGTTTGGAGGGGGAGGAGGAGTGTACGGAATTCAACTGAATATGAAGAACTTCCTTAAGCATTAGAAGAAGTGAACTTGTGAGGTAGAAAGGTCTCATCACTAAAAAGATCAAGGCCGGGCGCGGTGGTTCATGCCTGTAATTCCAGCACTTTGGGAGGCGGAGGCGGGTGGATCACTTGAGGTTGTGAGTTTGAGACCAGCCTAACCAACATGGATAAACTAAAATACAAAATTAGCCGGGCGTGGTGGCTGTAATCCCAGCTACTCGGGAGGCTGAGACAGGAGAATCACTTGAACGGGGGGACGGAGGTTGCTGTGAACCAAGATCGCGCCATTGCACTACAGCCTGGGCAAGAAGAGCAAAACTCCGTCTCAAAAACATAAATAAAATAAAATAAAATAAATAAGATCAAGTCCATTCATCCGAAATGTTCCTGGGGGAAGTCACAAATTGGAAAAGAGGTTGAATTAGGTCAACTTTAACTTCGCATCCAAGTTTAACACAGTGTGTATGCTTCAAGGCCTAGTCCTCCAAACAGCACAGAGTTCACCGCCTGGTGGCTCCCTGCCCAGGAAGATCTGCCTGGGGACATTCTGTTGCTCTGTGAGATGTCAGGAGGGAGCATTTCTTGCTTCTGGTCCACTCACCGTCAGCTGTTGCTCTGCTGTTCCATTTTGGAATATCAGCGTTAAGCTTCCCCTTTTGGAAAGAGCATAAGAGGAGAAAAAGGAGGCTGAAGGAGGGATCTTGGATTACTCTTTTACTTCAGTTCCAGGCATTCCTAATCTGTTATGTCAATTTGAGTTTAGAGTTGAATGCAAAGTTTCAGGTTTCCCTTCCAGAGATGGGGCCGGGGCACTCGAACAGCTGCTAGGACTAGGGAGTGGCTAATAGTTGGAAGACGCCAAACACAATCTCTAAAGGAGTAATTAGAGGAAAAGGGAGAACTGCAAAGAACCTGGGGAAGGGAAGAGGAGTCCTCTTGGGTCCCCCTCCCCTTGCGCTGACATTTGGATCACCTCACTGAATGATGAGGTGAACACAGGAACAGGTGCGCCTCATCTCTACCCCATTTGCCCTAAACAGGGATCATCTTGCTGAGTTTGCTGTGTCCGGGGCCAATTAATCAAGGCTAGACAAAGGATAGACAGCGAGAACTGGAAGGGATGGGGTCTGGGAGGCGAAGCTAGGAACCGCGTACAGCGCGCCTTGCAGATGACATCATTGCCTGAAAGAGCTCTGGCCCTCCCCTTCCCGGAGCTACACCCGGCAAGTCCGTGCGGGAGCTGAGTGGGTTTGCCTGGAGGGCGTGAGCCGAGGGCGGCGGTGCGCTCGAGCTCGGGGGAGGTGCGGCGGCGCGAGAGGGAGACCTGGAGAAACCAGCCAGCGCGCGAGCGGAGATCTCCGGGCTGAAAGTGTCTGCGCCGCTCCCGGCTCCGCCCCCGCTCGGCGCGGCGCTGGGCACTGGGAGGGGCACGCCCATTAGGGGGTGGGGAGTGTGCACTAGGGGGAGGGTCCGGGGCGGCGGTGGGGGCGGAGAGCCGCCTGCGCATGTCAGGGCTGACAGCACACACGGCCTGGGAGCCTAGAGAAGGGTTGCTGATCACCCGCCACCCGGGGTCGGGGCCCCGCACCATCCGGGGGCGAGCTCCCGGGAAGGGGCTCCCCCTCTACACCCACCCCCCAACCTCTGACATCGCCGGCCGAACGAGAGCTGCCGCTTCCTTCCCGGCCCCGCTGCACCTCCCCGGGGAGCCGTGGGCGGGCGTGGACGGCACCGACGTGGAACGCGTTCTGTAGCCCAGACGGGCGGCCCCGGCGGCTTCGGTTGTGGGGACACGCCCAGCTGAAGAAGCGGTCAGGGTGGACGAAGCAGGAGCCGCGGGGCTCGGAGGATCCCAGTCCGAGTGCAGCAGATCCTGGGGAGACGAGAGGTGAATCAACCTGGACCCTTCGACAGCCTGGCTGCTAGGCCAGCAGTGCGACTCCCTTCCGAGCTGAGCTTGCCCTGGACGCAAACGAGCGAGGCAGGGGCGCGAGTGGAAGCTGGAGTTCCGGGGTGGGCGGGGAGGCGACTGTCCGTGGTGCTGAGCGCCGGAGAGAGCGGTTGCGGAGCGGCTGATTATCTCCCTCGAAGTGGGGAGGTTCAGTGGGGTCGCTTTGGGTCCAAAGCCCCCGCCCGGCTCCAAAAGCCCCCAGGGCCTCCCCAGGCACCGGTGCTCGGCCCTTCCTTCGGTCAGAAAGTCGCCCCCTGGGGGCAGTTCGTCCCAAAGGGTTTCCTCGAAAGAATCTGAGAGGGCGCAGTCCTTGACCGAGGGAATCTCTCTGTGTAGCCTCGGAAGCCGCCAGCCCCAGAAGATGCCTGCCTTCAACAGATTGTTTCCCCTGGTTTCTCTCGTGCTTATCTACTGGGGTAAGTACCAGCACCTCGCCATGCCACATGCAGGTAACAGTAATAATGCTAACAATAATAACACATTGATGTCGTTGGTGACAGAAAAGAGCTCTGGCTGGCTTCCCTCTGTGCATATCTGCCAGACATGGAGATCGCAGGGGTTCCATGAGAGCTGGGATTCTGAGATTGGAAAGGCGCCTCCCCACCGCCCTTTCCCGGTATTCTCCAACCTCCTTTGGTGATTCTTCCGCCCTTCCTCCAGTTTCCTGATCATTCCAAAGTATTTTTTCCCTTTCCCTTTGCTGAAAGGAAATGCAGTCACGTTCACGAACAAAAACCTCCTGTGTGTTACATTTTATATCTCATCAAGGAGTCCATACTCCTGGAAAGCTTACTGGGTCTTCAAATTCGTTTCTGTATATTAAAAAATAAACAAACATGAAAGCTGGATGCATGAATTTTGAGAGTGAAAATACTTTAGTTGCTCATCATCTTCTTAATTTTAACAAGGAATGGGAAGAAAACAGGCTTCAGCCATTTACTGCTATATAGTAAATAAATAGGCAACTGTGAAACGCATCTTTCTTTTTTTTGTTTGTTTGTTTATTTGTTTGCATGAACCTGTGGAACTAAGATGCTTTGGTGTTTGGGGAGGAGAGCTGGGTTTTTGCCTTCAAAGGTGGATAGATTATTGCTTGTCAGCTGTGAGAGACTGAGGTGACCTTCCCTCTCCAAATAAGGGAATCTTACACTTGGAACAGTAAAGACTGAGGAGAGTGTCAGAAACGGTCTTGGAGTGCCTGAATGTGTGTAAAGGGAGTTGAGTCTATATGATAATGTCTAATTGTGTGATTGAGACAATGTTTTACTGTCTGTAAATATATTTCAGTGTCTGGATGTATGCATTAGCATGTGTCTGAGCATGTTAGTATAGACATCAGAATGCATGGGTGAGAGTATAGTAGTGTGTGTATGGTGGGGGGTGGGGCGTCATAGTTCTGGGCATCTCTGCCTTGGTGTCTATGATTAGATCCTCAGATAAAATATAGGTTCTCTTCAGCAGATAGATTGCTTTACATGATCTTAGCTACCTTTCTCCGTGCTAAAATCAATACCCAGGGTAATTGCACACAATTGTACCCACCTGCCTCCCTGAAACGAGGCATGTGAGCTTATGTTCACGCCTGAACATGGTTGGCATGAAACTCATCCAGCCTATATGGTGGCAGACATGCTGATGGGAACTGCCTCTTTGCTTTAGTATTACTTTTTCAAGCCTCCAGGACTAACTCTAGCTGCCAGCATTATCTGGATTTTGCATGTGACCAGAGGCAGAGCCAAGCTTCCTGTCAAAATGCCTGATGAGACAGACTACTAGGAAGGTCGAGGAGGGAGGTAAAGTCAGCCCCAAGGGCAGACTCATCACCAGCCATCCCCAATAGAGTACCAGACCTGGAGACGGAGTAGCCATAATAGGTTGCCAATGATCTCACCTGCCTTGAAGATTAAGGCTGAAATTTTCTCAGAGGAGACTAAGGCTGGGGACAGGAGGCATAGAAGATGATAGCCTGGCCATATAAAAAGAATGTAGGTAGAGCTGAAGTTGTAGATAAGGGTTGGGGTGAGTCTCTGCAGAGACATTCTTCCTAAACTCTAATCTAAGATTTTGAGATCCCTTTCTGAATTGCAGTGGAGGGAGAGAACATGCTATCATCCAAGAATCTTTTAACTAGAACTTGTGCAACCTGCATTGGAGTCTCAATTTTGCCACTAGCTTACGATGTAACAACCTTAGAGTGCTATCTGGTTCTTTCTGTGTAATGTTTGGAAGTTGGCACGGGTGATATCTAACATCCTTTTTAGCTCCACAGACAAACGGTAGAGAAATCTTTGAAGAATATTGCTAGAATTGACAGAGTGTCCATCCCCTCCCCAACCCCAAAAAAACTTTGGAAGAAGTGTACACAGTATGCCCATCTTTGCCCATTCTCAGTTTCTTTGCAACCTGAGTGTTGTCTCACCAAACTGAAAGGCTGTGGAAGGGAACGAGCAGTGGTTCAGGATACCTGGTTGTTACATGTAAGAAAAACAGCCTCCCTTCGCCAGGCGCTGTGGCTCATGCCTGTAATCTCAACACTTTGGGAGGCTGCGGTGGGTGGATCACCTGAGGTCAGGAGTTCAAGACCAGCCTGGCCAACATGGCAAAACCCCATCTCTACTAAAAATACAAAAATCAGTCAGGCATGGTGGTGCATGCCTGTAATCCCAGCTACTGGGGGGCTGAGGCAGGAGGATTGCTTGAACCTGGGAAGCAGAGGTTGCAGTGAGCCAAGATAGTGCCACTGCACTCCAGCCTGGGCAACAGGGCGAGACTCCATCTCAAAAGAAAAAAAAAAAAAAAGGAAAAAAAGAACGAAAAACAGCCTCCCTTCACAGACACAATTTCATTTGATTTGTATGTAATTCCAATATTGGACAATGCTGGGTTAGATGCATTCCCCCTTCCAAAGTTGATTTTTTAATATGATATACAATATGAAGGGAAAGAGTCTTTCCATTTACTTTCTGCATGCATGGAAAAAAGTTTCCTTATTTCCTTTATTAAAGCATGTAATAATTTTTACTTTTTAAAGAGATTTTTTTAAAAAAATTAATACAGACAATGTGTCGCCATATTACCCAGGCTGGTCTCTAACTCCTGGGCTCAAGTAATCCTCCTGCTTCAGCCTCCCATAGTTCTAGGATTATAGGCATGAGTCATCATGCCCAGCCTTTGAAAAAATAAATAAATAAAACCCTATACTTGCCTGTGCATCACAGTTTACAAAGTAATTTTCAATACATTGCTTGTTTCGGTCCTCATATCTCTCCCCAAGGTAGTCAGGGGAAAGAGTGTTCTTTCCAGTTTAGAGGTGAGAAAATGAGCTCAGGAAAGGGAAAGGACTTGCTAGAGAACCTTGTTTTCTGATTTCAGTCTTCCAGTGCTCCTTCCAGCACCTCTCATGGACACAATCGCCAGGAGGGCACCTGTCCTCCCATTTCTCTTCTGAGCTACCATCCCATCCCTCCCCTACACCATCGCCTGTCCTAGGGCCTCACCTACTAGCACCTAGTACCTTCTCTGCCCTTCCTCTCCAGGCCTGCCATTCTAGTTGCCCTGTGCATTAGGCAGTGTTTTCCTCTCTTCCCCTAGTGGTCCTTCATGCATCCTATTCAAGGCCCTAAGTGACCAGCTAAATCGGCAGACCAAGTCACGTCAGGGTGTCAGAATCTAAAAATAACTTCATTTATTACCCCTTTTTGGAAATTGTTTATATTCTAATCAAATTTTTCATTATCTCAGTGCAAAGGAAAGCATTTTAGAGCAATCTTAGAAGGAAAAATTTGGCAACGTCCAAGGAAGAGAAAGATTTGAGGGCCTCAGAGAAGTTGGTTCATAATACTTTATTATCCACCTATGATAGATGGATGCTACTCCTTAGTGAAATATGATCATTATTAATACATCATGGTTTTCTTTCTCATACATTTCTTCATTATTATTATGGAAATTGAAGAGAAGAACAAAGGTCAAATGATTTGGTCAACATTATTCCAAGAGTTTGTTACTTTTAGTCAGCAATGTAGGTTGAGCTCCTGCCATATTTACAGCCTTCTTTGAATACCTAAAGGGCTTCATAGAAAGAAAGACAGTGGTGGGCCGGGCACGGTGGCTCACATCTGTAATCCCAGCACTTTGGGAGGCCAAGGTGGGTGGATCACCTGAGGTCAGAAGTTTGAGACTAGCCTGGCAAACATAGTGAAACCCCGTCTTTACTAAGAATACAAAAATCAGCCAGGCATGATGGTGGGCGCCCGTAATCCCAGGTACTCAGGAGGCTGAGGCAGGAGAATTGTTTGAACCCAGGAGACGGAGGTTGTGGTAAGCCGAGATCGTGCCATTGCACTCCAGCCTGGGCAACAAGAGCAAAACTCCATCAAAAGAAAGAAGGAAAGAAGGAAGGAAGGAAGGAGAAAGAAAAAGAAAGAAAGGAAAGAAAGAAAGAGACAAAGAGAGAAAGGAAGGAAGGAAGGAAGGAGAAAGAAAGAAGAGAGAAAGAAAGAAAGAGAGAGAGAGAAGGAGACAAAGAGAAAGAAAAGAAAAGAAAAGAAAGAAAAGAAGAGAAAGAGAAAGAGAAAGGCAGTGGTGTGCTGAAGACTCAAGGGATGGAGAAACAGATGTTACCTCTTGAAGCAAGGAGCAGCAAGTCATACTGCACAAGGCAAGCAAACAGAGGTGGGGAGACTTTGTGGCCATTTTTCAATGTACTCTCCAGGATCACATGAGCAGAGTTCTCATGCCCTGAAACTGGATTTTGACTAGAAGGGAAGCAGTGGGACTTGCTCTATGATAATACCTTGGATTATTATTACCTTAGGGGCAACCCAGAAAGGAGAGGGGCTACCCCACTTGCTGCCATATCCCAATTGCCATCCTGACTGCCTTCCCTCCATTAACTATAAATGAACTAACTGTGCTTCTATCTCTGCCATCCCATCTACTTGTTCCCTAGAGCACATCACCTCTCACCTAATCAAAGATGTTAATCCAGCAAATCATTTTCTTTCATTTCTTTCATTTCATTTCTTTCAAACACCACCAGCTCTACTGTCATCTTCACCCAAACAAAATCGTCTTCCAATCCGATCCCTGTACCAGGCCTCTTAACTGTTTTGATTCCACCCTTGTGTCTTTCACTTCATCAGTTTATTCCCAATGCAGCATCAGATCATATGATCTTGCACAAATCAGATCCCATCATTCTTCCTCTCAGAACCTTCTGCTGCTCCTATGTTACTCTAAGCAAATGCCAAGGTTGTCACATGACCAATAAGACCTGCCGCGATCTGGCCCTGCCCATCCCTCCCACTACTTCATCCCCTTCTATTCTCACTTTGTTTGCCGTAATTTCCACATTGGGCTGTTTGCTGTCTGTTGAGCATGACAAATACACTCCTTTGGGCCCCTTAAGCCCTTGAGTAGCAATTTCCTGTGTTTGACATGCTTCACACAGATGTGTATAGCTTATACCCTCATTTCTTTTCTTCAGTGCCTGCTCAATGATACCTTCTCAGAAAGGCCATCCTCCAATGATCCTGTGAACACGCTCTCTCCTGTACTGTTTTGTTTTTTCTCACAGAACTTTTTACCATTTAATGTTACTGTTTTCCCTCTACCTCCACTGGAATGTAGGCTCCATAAAACAGGGATTCTTCTATTTTGTTTTCTGGTGTATTCGTCGTGCCTAGAATAATGCCTGGCACCCAGAAGGTACTCAGTATATTTGTGAAATAAACAAAGGATAGAATAACATGAATAATGACATTTGTACAAAGCATGTTCATGTAAATTAAGCCATAGAACTCTCATGACAAACCTACTAGAGAGATGTAATTTTCAGAATTATGTTGATGAATAAACTGAGTCTCAGAGAGATCACATAGTACATCAAACCCAGCTCTTCAGTTGTCAAATTCTATCTTCACCTTGCCTCTATAATTGTAACTGTGCATGCCTTGAGACTTCTTACTCCACTTCTGAGTTTGTCAACATGAAATGAATGAATTTATCATTAAATATGAATGTGCCTCAAGTTTCCATGCTACATGGAGTTCCTGCTACATAGCCTCTACCCCTCTGCGACTCACAAACTTTTGCACAAACCACATTTCCTTTTTGTTCAATCAGATCTATAATCAACACTTCAAACTCATCACATGCCGAAGATGTTTCTGATCAGTTCTCCCTAGATGTGGGCCCCCTCTCCATTAAAGTGGCTCACCATCTGCAGAAGCACTAGGCCCTCTAGAAGACTGTCAGATAAGACTTGCCCAGCTTGCTGGAGAGTTGAAAACCCAATTAAATTTATTTTACCTGGATTTTTAAAACTTTAAGTTAATTATGGTGCCACTCATTTTTAAACTCTATATTTTAAAATGAACTACACTGCCTTCTAAGTCAATCAAACACAGTTTTTGGACTCAAAATTCATTTATGTCAGTGTCATGTTAAGCTCTAAATAAAACTGTCCCCTGCTTTTAGGAAAGAGCGCTCTGCCACGAGATGAACAGGCTGACCATTAACAGTGGACTAGTTTTTAAATGTCAGTGTGTAATATTTCTCTTTTTCTGGGGGTTCTGTTTTTATTATTAATTCACGAAAAAATAGCATCAGAAGGGATCTTCAAAGTCTAATTCTAATTCTAATGTAAGAATCCGTGGTGGCCAACTTTTTTTTTTTTTTTTTTTTTTTTAAGAGATAGGATCTTACTCTGTCAGCCAGTCTGGAGTGCAGTGGTGCCATCATAGCTCATTGCAACCTCAAACTCCTGGGCTCAAGCAATCTTCTTACCTCCTGAGTGGCTGGGACTACAGTTGTGTGCTTTCATGTTTGCCTAATTTTTATTTTATTTTATTTTTGTAGACTCAGGGGTCTCACTGTGTTGCCCAGGCTGGTCTCAGACCCCTGACATCAAGCAGTCCTCCCACCTTAGCCTCCAAAATGCTGGGATTACAGGTGTGAGACACAGCACCTGGCCTCCTCTTACTTTCAAATATCCCAAACAATGCTGTGTACACTCTCTTACCATTCAGTTATTTGCATTTGTGAACAGCTCTAAAACCAGCAAATTCTTTTTTTATTGCATTAAACTTACTTTTTTCTTATAACTTTTAGGGTTGCGCAGAATCATATTTCTCTTCCACCTGCCAGCCTTCAAATATTTGAAGACAGATATGTTCTGTGTCCAAGCTAAGCAACTCAAGTCCTCCCATTTGTTCCTCACCAGACTTTATCTCCAGACCCTTCACCATCTCCTTCACCTCTGGGCATGCACTCTTTGAACAACTTCCTTTTTTAAAATATGACATCCTGAACTGATCGTAATAGTCCAGATTTGTTCCAAAAGCAGTGCCAAGAAGCTACGCCTCCTTCCTCCTGCACACTGTACATCTGTTAATGCAGCCCACATTTGCACATGTTTTGCTGGCAGCCTTGTCCCACTCAAGTTATTCTGAATTATCAAGCTGATATACTTGCCTCCTTTTAAAAAGCAGACTTCAAGTTTCCAGAGGGCAGAAACACCAAGTCTAGACCTCTGTGTGGCATGCAAGGTGTCCCACAGTCTGACCCCCTCCAGATTTTAACTTGCCTCACTATACTCCTCTGCATAGACCATTGCTCCAGCCTAGTGGTCCGCTCGCCATTTTCTTCACTGCTGCTCCAACCTCCACCATGTGTCAGAATTACCTACAGTTTTCATGCAACACAGATATAATTACATCTCTCCATGGCTTTAAAACATTTGATACCTCACACTGGAAGGGACACACGGCGGTCTTCACAGCGTGGGTCCTGTCTACCTTTCTAGCCTCATGTTTCACCATCCTTCTCTTCCTTTCTCCCCAGGCCAGCTGGGAGTAACTAACTGCCTGTCTTCTGTGAGCAGAACATAGCATGAGTGTGTTACTTGCTGTGGTCAGGTTTAATCCCTGGTTAGGAATTGTGTTCCCTATTAGGTTATAAACGCACGTAGGGCATAGTTAGTGTTTTATTCATCTTCGCATCTCTAGTCTAGCATCAGACCTGGCAGAGAGTGGATTTTAATGAATGGTAGGGGAATGAAGGGGGATGGATGGTCGCTGGGTAGGCGCATGCCCGGTCTCCCACTTGGGCTGTAAGACTTAGAGGGCAGGGCTCAAGTGTAATTTACTGTGCTGCATCTCCACTGCCTCCGGGGGAAGGATTTCAGTCAATGTCTACATTGGAGGTCTAGGCCTCCAGTGTGTACCTGTTCTGAGCCTGTACACTCAGGGAGCGCAGGTGAGGGTGTAGACACGTGCGCGTGACTTTTTTCAAGTTCGCCTCATGACTCTTCCTTCTCTGTCTCTCCTCCCTCCCTCCTTCTTCTCCAATGCCTCTCTCCTGTGCCCCTCTCCCCCACCTGCTGTTCCTTCCCTGTCACCTGTCCTCCCTGCAGCCAGTGTCTGCTTCCCCGTGTGTGTGGAAGTGCCCTCGGAGACGGAGGCTGTGCAGGGCAACCCCATGAAGCTGCGCTGCATCTCCTGCATGAAGAGAGAGGAGGTGGAGGCCACCACGGTGGTGGAATGGTTCTACAGGCCCGAGGGCGGTAAAGATTTCCTTGTATGTTAGACTGCTGACTCTGGCCTTTCTTCTGCTGGCCTCTGCCGTTCCCAGCTTGGCTCCTGACAGTCTGGGGGATGCCGAGCTAGCAAACACTGGCTCTTTCTCTTTCAAACACTGACAGCTCCTCAGCAGATAACTGACAGCCTTAGTGAAGCCCCAGCTTGTTTGAAAGAAAGGGCACTGGGCCAGCTGCAAGCACCCTTGATTATAGGCTGGAGGAAGCAGAGGAAAGAGATAAGCCATAAAGCCTACTATGTGATAGGCACCCTGACAGGCGTTTTGCAGGTGTTTTCATCTAATCTTCTGTGCCATCCTATTATATGCATTAAATTAATAAATAAATGGGAATAACACAAAGCATCATTATGTGAAATAACAAAGGTTAGCTCCTTTAACTCCTACAGTCCTAGTGAAATAGGAATGACAGGGATGACCAAGAGTGATCCAAGGGTGATATTCACCCGGGACACCCAGTACAGCCACATCAGCGAATAAATTATTTTAGACAGTTCTCTCATGGATACTTGCTGTGCCAAGTCTCCTAAGTGGCTGAACCCCCAGACTTATCCGTGATTTGGAAACTGAGAGATTCGCTCCTGGCAGAGCAGGGAGTCTTCCAGATTCTGCTCCTGCACCATGGCCAATGTCAGTTCTGGTTGGTTGGTGCCAGTGGCAAAGTGGTTGTCATATATATATATACACACACACACACACACATGCGCGCACACACACACGTATATATGTATGTATGTATATATTCTCTCTCTCTCTCTCTCTCTCTCAAAGGAGTCTCCCTTTGTCACCTAGCTGGAGTGCAGTGGCATGATCTCACTCACTGCAATCTCCACCTCCCAGGTTCAAGTGATTCTCCCAACTCAGCCTCCCCAGTAGCTGGGACTACAGGCATGCACCACCATGCCCAGCTAATTTTTGTATTTTTAGTACAGAAAGAGTTTTGCCATGTTAGCCAGGCTGGTCACTCCTGGCCTCAGGTGATCCACCCACCTCGGCCTCCCAAAGTGCTGGGATTCCAGGCGTGGGCCACCGCGCCTGGTCAGTTGTCATACATTTTGAATACCACCTTGGAGATGACCATTATTTACTCCTTCACTGACTCTGGAGCCAGGTCGCCTGGGTTTGATTCTTGACTTCACACTTATTAACTCTGTGTCTTTGGACATGTTGGTCAACCTTTCTGTGCCTCGGTTTCGTCATTTTTAAAGTGGGGATATAAAGCATAGCCAAATTATAGGGCTGTTACCAGGACTCATGAGCTATAATTTTTAATGCATTAAAAATAGCTTCTGGAATATAGTAAGCACTATGTTAAGTGTTTGCTAGAGAAAAGATAGACACAGAAATGAGGAAACTGAGGTTCAAAGAAGTTTAATTAATAACTAAGACAGCTTAGACTTGAGCCAGGTGGTCTAACAGCAGATACAAGGCCCTTTTTATGGCACTGCTTTGCCTTCCTGGGAGCAAGTTTCTCCTTCACAAAGATTTGTAACGGAGACAACAGAAGGGTGAAACTGGGTTTAGCTTGCTCTTCTTTCTCACTATCCTAAAGCCGAACTCATTTCTGACTCTAGCTTCTATGTGCCATTCTGATGTAAATTTGCTACAGTCAGGTGCCAAGACTGGGACCAGCGGAGACTTCCCAGAGCCTGGCTCAGGTTTGACAGTGACACGTCAATGAAGCTGCAACTGAGGCTAGCCCCCAGCTGCAGGAGGCTGGATGGCTTGGCCAGATGCAAAGGCCCCCAGGGACTTCAGGCCTGGTCATGTACCACTGATAGCTGCCACTGATAGATGCTTCCAGGTCTGCCCAAAGTGAGGTGGATCAGAAGGAGAAGAAGAAAATGAAAAATAAAATGATGACAGCAAAAACAGCCATGGAAGTCCAGAGCAAGGCTGTCTCATAGAAATGTGTGTGATTGTGGCAACCTTCTCTGTCTGTGCTGTGCGATACAGTGGCCACTGGCCACATGTGGCTATGAATAATTGAAATGTGGCCAGTGCCATGGAGGAATTGAGTTTTACATTTTATTTAATTTTTAAGAAATTGAATTTAAGTAGCTACCTGTGGCTAGTGGAGACTAGAATAGCCAGCACAGCTATAGAGAGAGAGGAAAAAAAGGTGTGTTATGTCAGAGGGTGGAAGTGTTGAGGAAAGAAATTTAAAAGATGAGATTTCAGTTAAAGTTCAGTCCAAAGCAAAAGATGTGACGTGTGCCTCTCTGGTGATGGCTCTCTGCTCATCTGCCATGCTTCAGCATCCTGGGCCCCCTTCCTGTGGCCTGGCCCAGCCTGTCCCACAGCCCCTGATGAGTACCAGCACAGAGAGTCCAGTTTTAAAGCCAAGGCTTTCACATGTCTTTATTACTAATGAATCTGCCTGTCTTGCTGTCTCTACCTTGTTCTCTTGCTGGCGGCCCTGGGACACATCTTACTCTCTTGTTCTCTCCTTCTGTCTCTTTCCAATCCTGTCTTTCTCTCAATGTCCGCCTCCTGGGCTCCCATACCCTTCTCCTGCCTGCCTTTGTTCTCCCTCTTTCCACTGCTTTCTTTTCTGCCAAGCTTCTTCCTGCACACCCCTGGCTGCCTCTGTCCTCACCATGTCCACATGCGCTGATGCTTGCTGCCTCTGCCTGTCCTTCCTTGTCTTTGCTCCCTTCCCTACCCTCCTCTGTGCCTCTTCATCCCACCCCCACATTCTGGGTCTGCTGGTGACATTGTTCCCTCTCTTCCCTGTCCATGCACAATTCTGCTTCTTTTCTCTGCCTTGTCCGTAACTCAGCTTTCTCCTGCCATCTCCTCTCCTGGCCCTACCCTCGTCTGCTCCTCTATTTGCAGATCTACGAGTATCGGAATGGCCATCAGGAGGTGGAGAGCCCCTTTCAGGGGCGCCTGCAGTGGAATGGCAGCAAGGACCTGCAGGACGTGTCCATCACTGTGCTCAACGTCACTCTGAACGACTCTGGCCTCTACACCTGCAATGTGTCCCGGGAGTTTGAGTTTGAGGCGCATCGGCCCTTTGTGAAGACAACGCGGCTGATCCCCCTAAGAGTCACCGAGGAGGGTGAGGCTGAGGCACAGAGTCTCTAGGGCGTCCCGCTCTCTGTGGACAGGGAAGGGTAGGACAGCAGTTTTCCACATGAGTAAGGCCCTTAAAGAGTGCAAAACCTGTGTATTTGGAATGATGACATCTACAAATGTCACCATTGACCCATCTTCCTCTGGTGGCCAGCTTCCTGTAAACCGCCCAAGCAGCTTGTCTTTCTGTGCCTTTCCTCAAAGCAGAAAGGCTTGGAGATGATAGAATGAGCTCTTCCTGGTCCCGGAGAAAGAGGCTAGCCTCCATGAGGCCTAAAGCTACTGATTCAGCTAGGCCTTCTTCTCTGGCCTATGTTGAATCCCTGACTCAGTGGGCTCAGAGAAATCTCATGAGGTTACCTCGAAGTCATCTCTCCTTCTGCCTGGAGGCAATACATGCCTCTAAGCCAGGGGTTCTCAAACATTAGCAAACCTCAAAATCTCCTGCAGGGCTTTTGGGAAGCCAGCCTTTCTGCTTTTGTCGGTGGAGCCTGAGCGTTTGCATTGCGTGACACGCTGCCTGGCAGGCAGTGCTGCTTGCTGGGACCGCACTTTGAGAACCTCTCTCTAAACCAAAGTTTGACAATCTTTTCTTCTTTTGTCTTGCTTCACAGTAATCACACGTGCCACCCCTTCCCCATCTGTGGCATCTCTTATTACATAGTTCATTCTCTGCTGGGAGAAGGGGACAGGTCAATAGCTCTCTAGCCTTGTTTAATATCTTTGGACTCCTACAGCTAGTTCTGTGTTCGTGCGTGGGAAGGCCTTTCAGCAGCCTAACTCAGGTGTTTCTGTTGCAACCGGAGTCCTGCATCCTGAGCGGGGAGTTCCAGCCTTTCTCAGTCTATCTCCAGCATTATCACTGCTGGTGAGCCGGCCAAAGCGGGGGGCATGAAAGAAAAGATCAAGTTAAAGACAGGGCTCTTCTTAGAAAAAAGGTTCCAGGAATCCTAACCTCCAGGCCACAGGTTTATTCATTTTTTATCATGTCGTTGTGATAAAAATAATGAAGCAAAGTTTCAGTCCTCAGAGTGAATGAACGAACGGGTCAGACGATATGACTAAAATGGAAGGTAGGTCAATTCTGAAAGTGCAGAAGGACTCTCAGGGCTCCTAAATTCAGACCCGATGAGTCACTTCCCTGCTCTGAGCCCCGCTGCTCTGGTGTGAAATGAAGGGGTGGGCCAGGGGCTCTCTAAGGTACTCCCCTGTTCTGAAGTTCCTTTAGCCCCCGTTTGTTACATGCCTTTCCTCCCGGGGTGGGGCCCTGGCGCCCTCTCCTGGTCACCGTCTGGAACTTTCGGTTGGTGCCTGCCAGACCCTAGCACAGTGTCCAACTGTCTCCACCTCTGCTCGCTCAGGCTTTTGGCTCCAGAGACCCTCGTGCATAGCTGGTGGGAAGTGTGGCAAGGCTGAGCTAGTTCGTCTGCCAGGCACCAGAGCAAGCCTCGGGTAAAAACAGAAGGAAAAACAAGTTTATTATCAGAGCCACAGAGCCTCGTGGATGGTCGGGTGTGAAGGAAGCGTGGATATCATTTATTTAATCCAGAGCCTCTGGATAAAGGGCAGACATCAGACTTGCCCACATTGGCTTCCTCCAAATGTAGACACCTCTGCAGCACCCTTGCAGGTGTGAGATCGGCAGGGGTGAGTGAGGTCATATGCGAGTTGAATGACTCCCCAGGTGATTGGAGGGTGCAGCTCTGGTGCCCCTCATTTTGTGGCTGGGAGAAGAGTTCTCTGCAAGAGCAAGGGGCTTGCTCAGGGACATGAAGCAAATTAGCACTGGAAGCAGGACGAAAATCCAGATTGTTTGCCTATCCTGCGGGCTTTCTTTCCACTGCTGCTTTTCCTGCCGCCACCACCCCCACCACCTGCCACTTTTTTCTTTTTTCTTTCCTTTTTTGCCTCTGTGACATCAGATACTCCCTGCCCTCATCTTGCTCAGAGCTACGTACCCCTCCCCCACCATGACACCTGCCCACCAACCCCACATGTCCTCCATTCCTGTGGTCCTAGAAGGTCTCCCTGGTTCTCTTTGTTCAAGTTGGGTTTGTTCTGGCATAGGCTGTCACCTCCTGGCCCTAAGGCAGAAACCTGAGGCCTCTTCACCTAGAGGTAACTAAAAATACTGAGGACAGCTTCCTGTATTGCCATTTGTGGGATACTGCATTTTGAAAGAGAAAGCATGCTTTAAGCCAAACAAATCATAAATAATGCACCAGGTGGTAGCAAGCCAGTGAGATGTTTGAGCTGTACGGCATTCTCATGTGCCTCACACTGCATCTATAACCTCTGGCTCCAGCTGGAAACCTGGATGATCCTGGAGCCTTTGGACTGCTTTCTGGGCTGAAAGTTATGGCAGGCTGTGCTGTACTCTTAACAACCAAGGATTTGGGGGTGACTTAGATCCAATGGACAACTGCAGATCATAAATCTGACTTGCTGTTGAGAGCTGGCAAGGGGAGAGGCAGCTGCAACATTCCTCCCACTAGCAAGGAGTAGATATATCAGGATATCTGCCATGTAGTATGTTTTCATGTTCCTTTTTGTTGATCATGAAACAAATAAGATAATATTTATTTTCACTCATTCAATAAGTACTTATTGAGCACTTTAAATATTCTAAGATTTACACAGCAGGCAAATAATCCAGAAATAAATATGTTCTCAATAAGCACACAGTCCACAGAAAAGAAAGATCAACACAATACAACTCTTATAACAGATGGATGAGAAAAGTGCATGGAGGCTGGGCGCAGTGGCTCACGCCTATAATCCCAGCACTTTGGGAGGCCAATGCGGGAGGATCACCTGAGGTCAGGAGTTCAAGACCCGCCTGGCCAACATGGTGAAACTCCATCTCTACTAAAAGTATAAAAAATTAGCTGGGCGTGGTGGTGGGCGCCCGTAATGTCAGCTACTTGGGAGACTGAGGCAGGAGAATTGCTTGAACCTTGGAGGGGGAGATTTCAGTGAGCCGAGATCATGCCATTGCATTCCAACCTGGGTGATAAGAGAGAAGCTCCATCTAAAAAAAAAAAAAAAGAAAGAAAGAAAAGAAAAGAAAAGTACATGGAGAAGGTTGTGAATAGCTCTGCATGAGAAGTTGGGGATGGTTTCACAAAGGGTGGGACCTCATAGGAATCTAGAACTACTGGGAGACTGCAAAGCAGGAGAGGATATTAGCACAGAACTAGCCACAGGTGAGAGACACAATCCAGGAAGAGGGAAGAGGAAGAAAAGTTCACAGATTCTAACATACCACAGTGTGTAGCAGTTTTTTTCTGGCCAACCAAATGCAAATGAGGTAAGAAAGCCTGGATTGTGAAGGCCCTTGCATGTCATGTGAACAGAGTTGGGACTTCATCGTAAGGGCAGTGTGGAGCATTGAAGAGTTTTCAGCAGGGAAATGGCAGGATCCTAACTGTTTCAAATGTACAGCCCTGGGGACAATGTGGTTGATACACTAAATCCTCCAGTATTGATGTTTGGTTTTGGGATGACCTGGAAGGTCTTGTTTCTAACCCAGACTTGTAGAGAACATGCGCATATCACATGGAGGCTGTCTGTGTTGGCCCTGAATGAGTTTTCCAATGCTCTCTCCCCAGGAATACCACCTTCCACCATCGGCAGCTCAAAAGACAGAGGCAGCTGAAATAAGGCATGTTCCTTACATCTGTGTAGACTTTTAATCTCACAAGACGTTCTGAAATACATTAGATAATGTAATATTCACAAACCCCTGACTGGTGTTATTATCCTCATCCTACAAACTAAGAAACTGAGTCTCAAGTAAGGGAAAATGTTGTTTACATACCTGTAAATAGCAAAATGGAGAGCCAGCTCTAGATAGCTCACTTTGAGGCCAAGATTCCTTCCACTGCTCTGCTGCTTCTTCCAGGCATCGCACTCCCTCTTCCCTGGCTCCTGAGCAACCGACGACAGCCAGTGAGAAAGCCAATGGTGGGAGAGTCAGGATTTGGAATTCCTTTGACATCTTCTTGAGTTTCTTTACTCAGTCTTTATTTAAGCTGTATTTTAAAATATGGCTCCAATGACGGCCCTAGGTTTGCTGGTCTTGCATATTCTGAGCCTCATTCTCTTTCTTTCAGCCGGAGAGGACTTCACCTCTGTGGTCTCAGAAATCATGATGTACATCCTTCTGGTCTTCCTCACTTTGTGGCTGCTCATTGAGATGATATATTGCTACAGAAAGGTCTCAAAAGCCGAAGAGGCAGCCCAAGAAAACGCGTAAGTTCAGAGATGCCAAAGTAATAATGAAAGCTAGCACCCTCAGAATGCTTGCTCTCACAGGTGAGGTGCTAAGCAGTTTACATTCATCCTCCACCCTCTTCCTGATTGCTACTTAAGAGATAGGCACCATTATTATACCCATTTTACAGATGAGGACACTGAATTTGGGAGCAAACTCTCCCAAATTCATTTTTCTCATCTGTAAAATGTAAGGCAAACTCTTAATTCAAATATCGTCCATGCCTATGTCCTGAATGGTATTGCCTAGGTTTTCTTCTAGGGTTTTTATGGTTTT